GTAACTTGTGGTTGTGTCCAGGTGAGTGTTCCTTTGCTGTAGATTTTTTGTAACACCCACATAAAAAAAACACCGCCAGAAGAGCCTATTACTGTAACACCCACACACAAACAACACTGCCAGAAAAGCCCAAACTATGACACACACATATGAACAACACCTGGGTATTCTGGCCGAAGTCTAACAATAAATATTTACCTTTTCTGGGTATTATGATTAGTAACCAAATCTATAACATAAAAGCTATGCGTATTTCGTTAATGTTCATACGTAGCCTATCGCGAGGTTTTTACACTCCAATTCGCTCCCCAGTGGCCCAGCGGTATGTCTGCGGACTTACAACACTAGAAACCGGGTTTAGATACTCGTGGTGGGCAGAGCACAGATAGCCCATTGTGTAGCTTTGTGCTTAACTTCAAACATACACTCCAATTCATACTACACTTACCCTGGCCCCCCCGTGGCACAGCGGTATGTCTGCGGACTTACAACGCTAGAAACCGGGTTTAGATACCCGCGGTGGGCAGAGCACAGATAGCTCATTGTGTAGCTTTGTGCTTAACTTCAAATATACACTCCAATTCATACTACACTTACCCTGTATGTCGAATCAGCCTTTACTTTAGTTTGACCGTAGTTCCACTCGGGGTGACTAGTGTCGTAACCATGGGTGGAAAAGCGCCACAACACGTCGCGAGTCTCAGGCTCCGTTGTCTCTACACGAACCACACTCAGGGTCGTAGACTTTCCTCGACCGAATGGTGTGAACCAAAAGCTGATGCAACGGCTGTCCACAAGAGCAGACTCGAACTGGGGACTTCGGAGGATGGGGGTTTGAACCACATTCTGGTTGAAAATGTCGAAGAAAGCATAACCGGCTGAAACGACACAGTGACATTACTGTTTGTTGGTCGTGAGTCCGGGTGGGTTTATACAATAACACTACTGTTTGTTGGTCGTGAGTCCGGGTGGATTTATACAGTAATACTACTGTTTGTTGGTCGTGAGTCCGGGTGGGTTTATACAGTAACATTACTGTTTGTTGGTCGTGAGTCCGGGTGGGTTTATACAGTAACATTACTGTTTGTTGGTCGTGAGTTCGGGTGGGTTTATACAGTAAACTACTGTTTGTTGGTAGTGAGTTCGGGTGGGTTTATACAGTAACACTACCGTTTGTTGGTAGTGAGTTCGGGTGGGTTTATACAGTAAACTACTGTTTGTTGGTAGTGAGTTCGGGTGGGTTTGTACAGTAACACTACTGTTTGTTGGTCGTGAGTTCGGGTGGGTTTATACAGTAACACCACCGTTTGTTGGTAGTGAGTTCGGGTGGGCTTATACAGTAACACCACCGTTTGTTGGTAGTGAGTTTATAAAGTCATTCAATGAACTTTTAACTTTGAATCATAAAGTATTTCACAATCTCAGCTTTTATCCGAATCCTACCTTAACAATCAAATCCCCACACACTCCCAACACTTTCCTGTATATGCAAACTGCCGAAACGTAGGATAAAAACTAGTTAGTAATTATTAACTAGTAATTAAGAAAAAAACATTAACAAATGAATGATAAGACTTATGTGGTCGTATAAACTATTAACTGTAACAACGATGGATATCTGATTATCATAAACTTAACAATCCACAATCCCCTTTTTTCTGGTCTCATGAAATCCATAAATATATAGAATTTAATTCTCAGAGTAGAAACATTATAGTTGAAGTCCTGCAGGTAATTTTAAAATGTCAGTGCCAGGTATAAGCTAGTGGTTAGGGTGCCAAGGTTCGAGCCCTGTCATGCTGCCCCACACTTTAAGTTGCTGTAAACCACGTTATTTATTGGGGGCGCTGTTGTCTGTTCAACATTTCTGAATTAAGGATGACTGAACTTTAGGGGGACTCTGCCCTGACCATGTAATCCAGTTTGAAATATTAAGAAACCATATCAGTAGTGTTAGATTACCAAGATATTAGTTTATTGTTCTAACATCATACCTGGAGCTCCGAAGGAGTGATCTTGTAGGTTGGCTGGACGAGTGGAAGAGGACGCCAACCTCCATGTAAGAGATCCTTCATTTACCTGAAACTGGAGAGGGTCAGAAACCCCGCTACCAACAAGACCTTCGACCTGTGGAGAAGATTGCTCCTCTTTTGTCCCATTTGTCCATCCGCACGAATCACGTACAAAGGAACACTCACCTGTACACAACCACAAGTTAAAATCTACAGCAAAGGAACATTCACTTGTACACAACGACAAGTTAAAATCTACAGCAAAGGAACACTCACCTGTACACAACCACAAGTTGTAATAGGCTCTTCTGGCGGTGTTTTTTTATGTGGGTGTTACAATTGTTTGTGTGTGGGTGTTACAGTAATAGGCTCTTCTGGCGGTTGTTTTTTATGTGGGTGTTACAATTTTTTGTGTGTGTGTCACAGTCTGGGATTTTCTGGCATAACATTTGAAACTTTAAGAACGTTC